ATGGATATCCAAAACATGTTTTTGAGGAATAGCTGGAATATGAAATGATAACAAAATGTAGTTATAAAGATACTTTAAGAAACCTCACCGGGTGCAAAAAGACCCACTTATGCATCTAAGGGTTAAAAGAATAAAGATATTTTTGTCCATCTAAACGTTTGATATCTTTCTTTTACAGTTTTGGAATCAAAACGGGGAATCGATGAGAACCGGAATCGATACATTTCAGAAGATACCCATCACTACATAAGACCAATAACTAAGACCAATGATCTAAACATTCTGACATTGAATTTTCTTGACTTTCTTCTCAAAATCCTGACCTTTTCTGGAAATTATCAAATTTCTAACTTATTTCTGGAAATCTCATGATTACTTTTTTCTCCAAATTCTGAATTGATTTTCTCCGCCGTCTCACGTCTTTTGGGGCGAGCAGAGAAATTCTTCTGCTGTTCTTTACATCTGTGATCATGTCTATTCTGCAGTACTGCAATACTACCTGGTGCAAATGTTTGTCAGCAGCTTTAAAATCAAAACTGCTCCACCTGTTAAAAATCTGCTCAAAGACTGTTGGTCCACCTGTCAGAGACTCTATGACTCATCATAGGAAACCTAGTGAGGCTGTCCAACAACATCATCTCTGACCCAAACCATGTTCTGAACAGTGAGTATGAACTGCTGCCATCTAATCAGAGATATAGGGTCCCACGATTCAATAAAGTCAGACTGAAGCATCCTTTGTGCATCAGTCAATCCTCACAGTAAATACAGAGCTGATCCCAGATCAAATGCACGCTGAAGGCTCTTGAGCAGCTTGTCTCTCACTGATTGTGCGGTTATGTTAAATGTTTGTTGTTTGTGTTTCATGTATTGTGTCTGGATACTTGTCTGTTGATGTTGGACATGGAGCTGCTGTGACGCAAGTCAAATTTCAGACTTGATCTGACAAATAAAGTAGTATCGTATTTCCCCCATTCATAAGAGTGGAGACAAAATCAGACCCCAAGAACTACTGTGGCATCTGTGTCAGCAGCTGTCTGGGAAAACTATTCTGTAGTATTCTAAATAAAACAATACAAGATTTCCTTAAAGAGCAACTTGCAGGTTGGAGACACCAGTGAATAAATGTGTAGGAAAATGATGAATACACTAGATTTTCAAAACAATATATCTGTATATTGTTTTGAAAATCTAGTGTATTCATCATTTTCCTACACATTTATTCACTGGTGTCTCCAACCTGCAAGTTGCTCTTTAAGGAAATCTTGTATTGTNTGCACTCATTGCAGCCTGTCAGGACATCGAGTCCACAGTTTCCCTAACAGGAAAAGGACCGGAGCTAGCTTTCGTTCCTGGGTGCGTTGTGCGAGGTGCATCCACCTCCCTGCAGCACATACTCTCCACAGCTGAAGCCTATCAAGCAATACGTTTATCAGGAAACTGCATTACATCTCTCTCCCCCCCTTCGCTGCTCTCTCTCTCCCCCCTTCGCTGCTCTTTCTCGCTGTCACTCCTGGCTCCCGGCTCAACCTCCACTCACCTGCTGCAATCAGCTGTGCACCCTCCCCGACTACACACCTGCTTTCCATCAAGCCATTTACAACGGCATATCAACGGAGGCTCCACAACCTTTCTCCGCCAGATCGTCAAGTATCAGCCGTATCTCTCTCTCCCCTCCTGTACACAGCACCGTAGTGTGGAGTTGCATTAGGTAACGCGAGATACGGCTGATACTTGCGCATTAGTTTCTGTTATGGATCAGTATCAACAGTCCTGCCAGTAACGTTACTATATTATCAATACTACTTTAGTTATAGCATGATATATGATTGCTAACTTTACAATGTTGTGATGTGACTGACGTTAGCTAACATTAACTGTAGCTAACGCCGGTAACTCACCAAGACAGCTGCTCTGTTCTCCACTGGTTCTCCACACACCAAAGCTCCATTTCTCTCCGATGGCCGTTATTTTTTCTAATCCTTGGCTGCTCCTGATCTCTTGGACGCATAGCAGGCTCATAATTATAATCATATGCATTCGAATATATATTTTCAACCTCTTCTGTGTCAAAACTAGCATTGTGATCCATGTTTATTCATACGTTAGACCGGCTGCTCTCCCCCATGTCATGTTACGTCACAGGCGGGAGGTCACGAGGCTTTTTTATGCGGAAGTAAAAATGTCTTACTAAAACGACGCCAGATGTCACTGTAGTGTATATTTCTGTATATTTTTTTGAAAATTTAGTGTATTCATAATTTTCATACACATTTATTCACTGGTGTCTCTAACCTGCAAGTTGCTCTTTAAGGATTTGTTTTGCAAAAAAGTCCAACCACTATTGGGTGAATGCAAATCGGACTTAGCTAGGTGGGACTCCCTCCACTTGTCCCTTGTGGGACTTGTTAATCTTATCAAAATGGTTATTCTGCAAAATTATTATATCTCTTCCAACATATTCCTATTTGTATCAATAAATCCTTCTTCACCAGTTTCAACAGACAATTTAATGCGTTCCTCTGGAATGACAAGCCAGCTCGTCTTAAAAGATCTATTCTTCAGCTCCCCAAGTCAGAAGGTGGTCTATCACCACTTTCTTTCAAATCGACCACTACAAATCAGAATCGGTAAGCACACATCATCCACCCTTATCGGACGTAATAGACTTTATGCGGACTGGTCGACACACAGTAGACCGTTTACAGCAAATACCAACAACCTCCACAACTACCCCACGTAGTACCAACTGTTCACACTTCTCGTATCCCGTGTCGTGTGCCGAACCACCCAAAG